TATGAATATAATCATTATTTGTAAGTCTTATTTATAATTATATTATTAATAAATGATTATTCATCGATTTTTCATAGTTATAACTATAATATCGTTTAAACGATTAAATTTTTAAACATGATTTGAAATAATCGTTACTCATATTCGATTATTTACGTTTTCATCGATTAATAATCATATTGATAAGAAAATAGGTTTTTTTTTTCTAAGTTATCGATATATATATATTCGATAAAAAAATATTTGAAATGATTTTTATTTAATCATATATATTGATAAATCTCGAAATAAAATGTTTAATTAAATTTAATTCTATATCGAACAAACGAAAATTGAATTTTTTTCAGATCTTATTTCAAAGACTTTTCAATAAAATAAACAAAAAAAAATCTCTGAAGAAATCTTCATTTGATAAGACGTGAAAAAGAAAATTTTTAATTGAAAAAAACTAAAATAAAAAATGATATGTTAATAATAAAGTCGATTAAAATGATATATATAAATAAAATCTTTTAATAGAATGTTACCTTTAAGTATATAATCTAATTTGGCATAATCATAAATAAAAGAAAAAACTAGAAATAAGTAAATGAAATGAAGCAATCAGATCATTGATAGTTAATGGATAAATTGTTTTAGCTAATGCATATATTGTCCATAGAAGTGAATATAAATCTTGATGTGAACATTTATTTTATTTATTTTTTGTATTTAATTTAGGATTTATTTGATTTGATGTTCTTTTATATTCATAATCAGAATAAATTAATTTATATTGATTTCCACCAAATATTTCAATAAATATTTTTGGTATATTTTTCAAATATAATTGATGATATATTAAAAACATGTTCAACACCTGATCGATTTCTGATCGAATTCAATCAGATAAATTGGCCATATCTTCCCATTTATGTAATTTATCAAAAAAAAACAAATAATTCTAAATGATTAGCACTTTTTAATAAACGTGATATTGATATTGGAATATTCTGATTTGTTGTTAGATGTTCATGTCTTTTACATGATACATATAATGAAATAGCTAACCAATGTAATTGATCACCTTCTAAAACATAATGTTTATGAATATGTACATATGAACGCCATGCATCTAACTTTGTTTCCATATCCATATTTAAATCAAGACATGATTTTGAATATACCATTTCAATTGATTCATCATCTTTATTTGACATTATAGCTTTTTTTATTCTAAAATAATCAAAAAAACAAAATGATTGACATTGGGTGTGGGTGTGAATCTGCATCTAGGCCTGTGTGTTGGTATTTCTTTCACTCATACCCAAGATAGAGACGAAATGTTTTTGTTTTGCTGATTCATAAAGTGTGCAACAAATATCCATGTTTTCATTCATTTACGCAAATTGAAAAAGAATCAGAAGGCCATCACTATCATCCTCAATATCATTAAAATGGACAAGAAAAATTTTAAACGATATGCTGGTGGCACATCGTCGTCTACGACAAGTAAGCCAAATAAGTCATTCACAGCTGCAGTACCAACGATAGTTGTGAGTAGAAGAGCTGGGTGTGAGTATGAGTGTCGTTTTTTTATTGAACACCTACATATACACCCTATTAGAGCTGTAACAGTATCAAGAAGCGATGAATATTTATGTGTCTATTCTTATCTACATAAAACTGTGCATGGGTATAAAAACAAAGTTTTTCTTTTGTAAAAGACTTTTTTTTGTTTAATTTAGAAGAAGTTAATGACCATATAAAGGTCATACCTTCAATAATAAGTTGTTTCGTTGCAATAGGATTGTTATCAGTGACTATTATGATCACATCAACGATGAATTTCTTTCTTTATCACCATCTATCGTTGTTTGGCATCAAATAAAATCACTTAGTATTATACTCAACCATTCAATTCAACTCATCTTTGTCTTTTTGCAAACAACTAATCTACGTACTCTGGAACTGCATTATAGAACAGAATATGATACTAAATGTTATTTGAAAAAGGAAAATTTAATCTATCTATTCGATAATATTTCTTTGTGCAGAATACTCATGTCAAATGGCTTAGATAACTCAATCTTTTTCCTGTTTTGTGACAACCAAATTTGGTAAACATTTCCTATTTAATTGTCGAGCGACTTCCTCATTTGCAAGTCATTGAAGTGTCTCATTTACTTATCAATGATCTTCCGAAATTAAAATTTCTTACTATTAATGGCGAAGATGAATATGATCAACTTTATGAGAAACAATTGCATGATCTGCAAAGTTCAAATACTCATTCTTTTCGAACAGAAATTCGTAACACAATAGATGAGGATACACTTTTTGTATAATTATAATCAAATAAAACTGCTAATATTTCTTTATTTTTTTGTACTTAGACTTGTTCTTGTGAAAGAATCATAAGAAGTTTTCAACATGAATAAAGAAAAACTTTTTAAATTTTGTTTCGTAAGTTAAACCAGATGAAAAGATCTTCTCTGTTTGATATTAAATTATACTAATATTCTTTATTAGTTGTACAATAGAATGTATACAAAAATTACTCCTACATGAAAACAATAACACTAATATTTGACCAAAAGATATTTTTTATTATTAATAATCAATTTATTTCCAGTTATATTTTGATACCAAACGCTATTTTAACTCCTCTTTCCTTTATCATCTTGTTCTATTTCCTTTCTCACATATAACTGACCGAAAATAAACAACTTGAAATGTATTCTATTTTTGAATATTCTTACAATAAATAATTATATTATTTCAAATTTATCCTTATATTAATATTTTAAAAGTTAAAACTTATTATAACATTTCATTGTTCAATAACAGTAACATATTTAAACTAGATCTGCACTCAAACTAAGCACGAGTAGAAAAGACGTCTGACTGCAGAATTTTCATAATCCTCATATATGTTCATAGTTATTTTTTAAAATCTAATTTATCTCTTATTAATAAATGAAGTTGGACATTGATTGATAACGAATATCAATTGCATATCCTTTTATTAGAACATTATTGTTCTTTTTATTTTGTATATGTAGTAAATCTTCGAGACTCTTTCATGGATAAAGTTAATTTATACAAACCGATAATTAACGTGTATATGCATATAAGATACGAGATATCAATGGTCACTAAAATACTAAGTCATTTATAACTATATAAAGAAATTACCAGCTGTTAATTACCATTTATTTTTGTTCTTGCATCTTCCACACGGAGTCAAAGAAAAATGAATTTCAGATGTGCCCTACGCATACATTCTCACGAGTTTGACAAGCTTTTTTGTGGGATGTGGGTGAATCTCTTCTTTCTGACCTTATCCAAACTCACCCGCACCAAAATTAGTTTTTTCAGTGTAGAAACTCTCAGTTACAGCTGATAGTTTGATGTAAGAAACCTTACAAGCATTTGTCTCATTACCATTTTGATGTAGATAAACATATATGACAAGTTAATCTAAGAAGACAATGAATTTATAAACTGTTCATTGATTGAAATATATAATTTTGTAGAATGCATCAATCTAGTCCAATGTTATTTTCCTATTGTACCAATCTTCAATGACTAATTTCATCTTACATTTCATTGGAAGAATATTTTTCATAACAGCTTTATGTGTTTTTATCTGAATAGGTTTAATATAAAATTTATCGTTTCAATGGAATAATATTCATCATATTAGATGATTATGATTTTAATTTTGTAACATTCTTTATATTCCTAAAGGTATTTATATTGACAATCTTATGTTTGAAAAGTATCCTGTTTTGAAATTTTGTTGTCTCATATCCTACTTGCTTGGATATATTTTTCGACGATTTTTGCAGCTTTAATTCAAATTATCTTAGTGTTCTTTTTAAAATTCAATAGAAGATGCTAGATAAATGAATATTATTCCATTGAAATGATACGTCTCCAATAAAACATTTGCAGAGGTGAAACACATTCTGATGTTATGAATAACAAGTTTTCTCAAAAATATAAGATGAAATTATTCACTCAAAATTGATAACATGAATGCAATAGAGAAAAAGATATCTTTTGTAGAACTTTAAAAGATCTATGAAAAAAGAAATCGAGAAGACGGATCAAACAAATTGATTTAGTCATCTATAGATAATCAGATCAAAGTGAAAGTTTTGTAAATTTCCTAACTTTCTTCTCAACTGATGATTTACTTCGAAAATATTGGTATCAAATGCTATCAAAATTTGATGCTTTTCTTTAACTAAAAAGTAATTGACTAGAGACAATAGTTCCTTGAAAAGAGCAACAACAATTATATTCGATATGAAAAGAAAAAGGCATGAGTAGTCTGTGGAACCATGAGTCTTCTTTAAAAGACAACAGTTGACGAAATTAACTTTATCATTCACTGTACTTATCTGAATGTATGAGGAAGCAGTAGTTAAGAAAAAACACTTTTTTTTATGAGCGCATAAGTAAATTTATAAAAATCATGACTTTTCAGAAGAATTTGAACAGTTTGTTCAAGATTTTTATTAATAAATTTACTAACAATCAAAAGATTTGCGTATAAATACTACATTGTATGGAAATAACTATTAAGACTAATGATTCAAATGTTTCTTTGACTAGCCAATACTTTAGTAGGAGTTAACAGACATGTTTTTTGTTTGTTTTTGTTTTCAATGCATAGTTTTTAAAGCAACCAATGACATAACTATTAACTACTTCTACCAGCGTTCTGCAAGATTTCAGCATCATCATTTCAAAGATCGTGACCTTGCAAAGTTTTCTTTTTCTTTTGAATAACTTTTGAAAAATTTATATTTCAAATATCCAAACACAAAATATAAGATTTTCTTAAGGTTAATTAACGAATAGAGTGAATATTCGTGATACAAGTCAATTCTAATTTTATCTGAGTTTTCAATTATTCAGGAGAAATATTTATTTAAGATTAGAAGATTTAACTGTTAATATCTTAGAGTTTCTGAATTTTGTCGATGGCGAATGCCTGAGAAAGAATGTCTTTGCAAGAGTTCAAGAAATGACATATTGAAGAAAATCAGGTAATCTTATATTACAATAAAATCGAGTGATCGAATTTATGATCCTGATGATTCTTAAAAGTAGATATCAATGACAATTATTAGCTAGGAAAATGTGAATAAGATTGATTGATCTATTCAGAAGAGACAGACAATAAACTGTAACTGTGGAAAAATATTTTCTTAATCTAGAATATTTGCAACGACTTGCTTGTTGAAACAAAACCCAAACTAAATTGATAATTGTCCCAAAATCAAAAGAAAAGAAACACTTCTTCAGAAGAAAAAGTGAAGAATACAACGAATTCCTAGACAATAGAATGTATGCCTTTGTAGATGAACCGGAAACTCACACCTTATTGTATATATTTCTGTTTAAATTAAATTTGATGAGAAAAAATTTCTTTATTTTATTTCGTCACATGTATGTAAAGTTAACTGTGTCAACAATAAAAAAAATATTTGAAACAAAGTTAAATAAGTTAGAACACAAAATTTAAATCACGAAAGTAGATTGTGAGAAAAAAAAATTTGAAGCTAATCGTCTCTCCTATTCTCAGTAATGAGAATAGAACAGGATTCAACATCATACTATTGATTGAAACAACGATTTCTTCCATAAACAGATATTAGTAATTTTGAAAAAATGAATAAATATAGATAGGCATATGAAAAAAAAATGATTAGCTAAGATATAATCATTTTTGTAAAGTTGTGATGTTATATGTGATTATCAAACGATGTTCGATGGAATATTTTGCAAAGCGACCAATTTACATTTATAAACATTTACCAATAATCCAGAAATAAATTTTAAAAAAAACCTAAATATGTTTGAAGTATTCTAGAATGTGTTTACAAGCCTTTTAGTATCTTTAGAATATAACAGGAACATGGTGCGATCATTTTCTTACAGAATATTCTTTAGTGATGATCGAATTTTCGTTATTTATGATTTATTTTTTCTGAAGTCAAGCATTTTGATGATTGTATTGTTGAGTTTTAACTTATGCTTTTCATTAAAAAAATTCTCAGAAATTTACAATCTAAAATAATTTTACAGGATAATACCGCGCTTGTCAGGCATCGAACTGAACTCGAACCTGTGGAAGTTGATTTGATTCCTTTTCTGATAGTGATCGTTAAATACTGTCAATGATGAATTGCTTTTTACATTA